GGGGGGGGGGGGATATTTTTATTTGTTTACTTCTATTTATTTATTTTTTTGCAACCGTTCTTTCCAAACAGCCCCCAGAAAGGGGAGCGAGCATTCAGTGTAAGGTAGGTGCTGTCTATTCGCGGTAGGAATTGGGTCTTCTGGTTCCAGGCAATAGAATTAGTTCATATTTGCTTAGTTTCAGATTTGGAAGCTTTATGGAGAATCATTTACAAGGAAAAAAAAAAAAGGAAGGAAGGAAGGAAGGAAGGAAGGAAGGAAGGAAGGAAGGAAGGAAGAAAAAAGAAAAAAAGAGGGTTTTCTAAATGTGTAGTATGTTCTGGAGGCCCTTCTCCACTATACCCTAGATGGGGTCCAGGATTTCTTAGCCTGGCACTCAAGGTCATCAGTCATCTCAGGTCTGCAGCCTGACCTCTGAGAGCTTCCCTCCCAACCGCCAGGCATCACACGGCTTGACCGGTTGACCATGTACTGCGTTCTCGAACTCTCACTAAGGCTTAGCTGGAGAATGGAGTTTTTTTCCTTCTCTAGTGTCACTCAGGAAAACATTTGTGAAGCCCCTCCTCTCCTCTCTCCACCCCCAGGCTCCTCTCCTGGGCCCCAGGACTAGGGCAGGGATTCAGGAATAAAAAAGGTGCAAGGGCGATGTTCCAGGCCCTGACTACTCTGCTCTACTCTAACTTGAGTTTGAACTTGCCACTTCAACCCACCCCCACACACAGGGGAGCAGCCTTCTTTTCCTTCTGCTAATACCACCCTCTCTTCCTCCCACCGCCTGATATGCTCCAGGCACCCAGAACCTCCTGTTCCTGAAACCACAGTTCCTGAACCCGTGTTCTCATCGCTGACTATGGGGTCTTTGCTTGGTTTCATCCCTCTTCTGGCCCTGATCTTTACCCACTACCTCTCACCTCTCAATTTTATTTTTATACCCTTATTTCTTTTTTATTTTATTTTTTTTTAATTTTTTTTTAATGTTTATTTATTTTTGAGACAGAGAGAGACAGAGCATGAACAGGGGAGGGGCAGAGAGAGAGGGAGACGCAGAATCTGAAACAGGCTCCAGGCTCTGAGCTGTCAGCACAGAGCCCGACACGGGGCTCGAACTCACGGACCGAGAGATCATGACCTGAGCCGAAGTCGGACGCTTAATCAACCAAGCCACCCAGGCGCCCCATGATACCCTTATTTCAAAGTTTGGCCTGGTTCTCTGTTGCCTATAAAATAAATTCCAGAACTCCTGGCAGGCTCCTTCACGATCTGCTCTAACTTCTGTCTCCATCCTCCAGTGAGAAGAATTGCTTTCATTCTAAGCCTTTGCACGGGAGACTCCTCTTACCTAGAATATTCCTCCATTTTTTTTTTTCCACCTGGTAAACTTGTTCATCTCTCAGACTTGCTCAGTTGTTACTTCCTCCGTGAAGTCTTTCCCGAGTCCCTGTGTGTTTAGCTGTAATAGTACCTGTCGCATCGTTACGATTGCATGTCTGACTATACAAAATGTCCCTTCTTGGAGGACAATTTGTCATTTATTATTGCGTGACCTTATTTCCTACCCAACACAAATGGACCCACAGATAATCACAATACTCCAATCTCACCGCCTCCTCATTCCCACCCGTGTGAAGGACTTCAAGACCCATCAACCCCCTCCTCACCCCAGTCATTGCTGAGAGTCCTGGGGTTTTCCGTGTGTCCTCTGCCTTGTGCCCACCTGCCCCAAGGGTGCCCCTTCACCCCAGCCACTGTCAACGTTCTCCTTTCCAGGGCAAGGATGAGGTGGGAAGATGGCACTCTGCCGTCTCTAGTTCTTGCCCTCGTTTTGTGTAGCAGTTTGTCCCAGTGGGCACTGAAGCAGGACTGTCTGTATCCTCTAGTGTGACAACCTCATAAGGACCACCCTGAAACAACAATTCCAACTTCTGCGTGGAACCATTCCGTTCCTTCAGGCCTCAGCCCTGTGGGCAACATCAGGTCGAGGTAGACACTGAGCCGTCCCGGTGAGGTCCAGGTCGGTCCCGATGCCGTCCAGGCGGCCTGCGATGCAGAGGTACTGAGGTTCTGGACGGGAGTCTCAGGCAAGTGGCAGCTTCTTGACTTTTCCTTATCTCGACAGGTAGAATAGCAGTACTTCATACACAGAGTTATTTTAAGGGTCAACCTATATAGCACAGTAGAGTCTGGGACTCAGCAGGTACTCAGCAGATTCTAGTTGGAAAAGCAATTGTTTGATCAGGTGTTTGCTAAGTGAGTGCATACTATTCAGGAAACGAGCAAAGACAGAAGAGGAAGACAGCTCTGGGGGAAATGGGAGGTTAAATAACCTGCAGAGGTCACAAACCGCTGGGATTCCGGCCGGGGCACTCTGTCCACGCTCTTAACCACAGCTCTCTGCCCCCCTTTCAGTGACAGTGCACTCAAAGTTTGTTTTGGTGGGTGCTTCAGAATTTCTCTGCCTCCAAGCAGCGACATCAGAAAGCCATGGAGCCCCCCAGTGGTACCAGCAGTGAATATGTGATCAGCCTTTCCCGTTTCCTCCCATTTCCTCCTCCCTAGTCCTGCTTCTCTTCCTCAGAACCCTCGCTCTCCTTTGCTCTTCCCCTGCTACCATCTCTCATTTCATTTTCCGTCCTAATTGTCCATCCATGCGTCCGGCTTCCCGCAGGAGGCAGTGCGATGGCCCTGCCCTAAAGCCAAGGCCACGTTCACTGAAACCTAACATGGACCCGGCTATGCCAGGACCCGGCCGTGCGTCTGGGAGTGAGTTACTTCCTCTCAGTCTGGCTCCACACTGAGAAATGAAGGAGTCAGGCTAGGTGAGGACAGATACTCTTTTTTTTTTTTTAAGTCTGTCATTCTGTGATTCTGGTGGTGACCAGGAGCATTTCTTTGAGTCCGGTGGCCAAACTCGCAGGAAAGCTGGTGGAACTCTAGGTAGGAAAGAGTGGAACACTGGCAGCAATATAATAACGTTGTTTCCTACACGAGTGCCTCGCACCGGTATCATCTCTGTCTTAATAGCCTGTGGCTGTGCAACGTGAATCGGGGTATTCTAATCCAATATGGTCAAACAGCAGAGTCGTTATTGTGGGCAGCTTCTTAGATGGCACCCAGTGATCCTCTCTTCCTCGTCTATATGTCCTGTGTAGTCCCCTCCCCTTGAGCATAAACTGAACTAGAGACTCACTTCTTTTTTTTTTAATGCTTATTAATTTATTTTGAGAAAGAGAGAGTGTGCACGCATGCGTGAGAGGGAGACAGAGGATGCCAAGCAGGCCCACGCTGTCAATGCTGAGCCTGGAGCAGGGCTCGAGCTCACAAACCATGAGATCGTGACCTGAGCAGAAATCGAGAGTTGGATGCTTAACCGACTGCGCCACCCAGGCACGCCGAGACTCACTTCTAATGAACGTAATATGGCAAAAGTAGTGGGATGTCACAGAAAGACTGAGGCTCCTTCTCTCTTGCCATTTTACTTTTTCCCTTGCTTGCTGGGAGGGAAGCCAGCTGCCATGTCGTGAGCCCTCCACACGGCAGGGACCTGAGGGAGGCTTCTGGCCAATAGCTTGTGAAGAGCGGAGTCTTGCCTTAGCCATCTGAGCGTGCTTGGAGGCAGGTCGCCCCTAGGGAGCTTCAGGGTGACTCCAGCCCAGGTGTTGGGAGAGACGTTGAGTCAGAGGACCCAAGTCATCTGCCCCTGGTTTCTCAACCCACAGGAACTGGGAGACAATAGGTGTTTCTAGTTATAGCTATAATTTCGTCACTGATACGATTGTTTAAGTGCATTTCAGAACTCTGAATTCACATCTGCCCATGCATATCATATCTGTTTTCTGGATGGGAGAGGGGAAACTGGGTCAGCTGGTGGTTGGGATAAGATGCAGATACAGTCTGGGTAAAGAAGCAAGTGTGGAAAACGCGTTAGACAACAGTGTGCCTTGTCCAAAGGTCAACCCCGCCAGTGCCACAACCCAGAGCCACACTTTGCTCCTATAGCCGAGCCCGTGCTTGGACATGCACCGTGCCCCCCCACCTCCCCAGGCTGTGCTACTCTCTCCTCTTGGATGTTAGCCACAGCCCCAGCTGGACCACACCCCTTGCAGCCTCACAGTGGGTGCTTATTACCCACCATGGATAATAATAAGATGTGCAGTTATGGATGAAATATAAATAATCACAGGCTGTGTAGTTTCATGCATCACCTAACCAGTAAGCAGTAGAAAGTCTCCACAGATGCAAAACACCAATAGCTCTCATGCCATCTGCCGCACGACCACAGAATTCACTGTCCCTGCCTGGTGCCGTGTGGCACCACAACAGAAACCAGAAATGTGCAACCCAGTCATTGCCTGGTGCTTAGCAACACAGTATCCCTGTACCTATCTAAAGAGTGTACTGCTTAAGCAATTGGAGGAAAATGTGACCTTAGTGGTTGCCATCTGTGGATTTCTTCTCCGGAAGCTTGTGAGTCACTAGGACCTTCTGCTTGGCTCAACCCACCCCCGTGGTTGGGAAACCGGCTTGGAAAGAGGAGAACATTTTCAGTGGTAATAAGTATGTTCCTTATAGCCAACTTCTCCATCTGTTCCTACAGTTTCTATCCATAGGAACATACATAGGTTCTGCAGATTGGATTTCAGACTAGCCAAGGTCAGCGTGCAATCAGCCACTGTAGATGGGGTCATTAGCGACAGCGAACTGTTGCTCTGGAAAATAGAGATGCTGAGAAACACTCTTGATATGTGCCCTTCATTGCTGGCTTAAGAGGGAACAGATGACAGGTACAATAAAGATGAATTCACCATGGAGAAACAAAAGGAAATGGCTTCAGAAATGATACTCTGGGGTCTAAATGAAGGGTTGATCCAAAGGCTTTCTCATTTGGTGTTTCGTTGAATTTATTTAAGAAGAAAAAATGGTGTTAGGTTGATGGGCATGTTGTATTTCCTTTTATATTTTTCTTTTACGCCTCGATTTAAATTTTACTTTAAAGCCTTCCAATATTTTTAAATGCCAGATAGCGACAGGAGACAAGCAAGTTCAGTACCGCCGTGCCCTGGGCCTTGTGCTTTCGAAGGCCCTGCTCTGGTCCACAGAGCCCCCTGTCACCCCTTCCTCCTCCTGGACCACATCTGGGTACAGAGGATCCCTGAATCTCATCAGGACTTGCAAAGCGTCTGCTCCTCATACTCCTAACAGAGGACTTTCTGGGGGTGGGCAAAACTGCAGGCCTGACGCATAGACATCTTAAAAGCTCTCATCACAAGAAGAAACGAAGTGAAACAAAGCTGTAACTGCGCATGGCGGTGGATGATAAGCAGATGTATTGTGGTGACCATTTCACAAGATATACAGATGTTGAGTCATTGTGCCATCCACCTGAAACTAATAGGTGTCAATTATATCTCAGTGGAAAAAAGTAACTAAGTGAAGCGATGGACGGGTGAACCATCATGTGATCGTGTGACAAGCAGGTGGTAATCGTGTCACCACAGAGACGTATAGAAAATCATCTCCTTGTACACCTGAAGCAGACACAATGTTATGTGCCAAATATATATCTTAGGACCCTGGAAAACAGGAACAAAAACAAAGAAACAAACCAACAAAAAACCCTGGAAGTCTGGTAAGTGGCTGATGCAGCAGTGTGGACAGGATATGGACACATGGATTGGGGTGTTCACCCAAGTCGGCTCGAGGCCCTCGAAGCTTTATGACTACACCCGGGATGGGCCATGGGCTGGGGTGTGGGGCTGTTTTCATCACCATATTCTGACACGCAACTACAAGAACTCTAAAGTTCAAACGTGGACGTCAAGATCTTTATGAAGGTATCTTTGTCAAAATAGGAAGGCAGAACATATCTTAAAACTTTTAAATATTTACACATGTGGTGTGGACCTCCAATTGT